CGATGATTTATTATTCAAACTCAATACCATCAATCTCCAATAATTGACTGCAGCGTCGGGTAAACACGCTGTGTTATTAAAATCTCATTTTCGAGAACGGTTAAGAACTGCGCAAACCTCAATCGTGCCGCGAATCGTATGCGAATTTTATGCGTGAGAGAGAAAGAGAGCGGCTACCCTTAATGTTCAGATAATGCGCGACCTTTAACGCTTCGCTGCTGACTGGGAACCTGTAAAAGTGCGATTTAACACAGCAAATCGTTCTCGCAAGAAGTATGAGAGATCTAATCGTGAGAGTTGCGACGGTAATTTTCCTACGCCAACGAGCAGAATAATTCGCGCAAAACTTGTGGACGCACCTTGCGGAGCCTGTGGACTCAGGCTGGGACGGCTGAGAAATGGTGGAAAATTAGAAACGAGGCCGTAATCAAGGGAACTGTACCAATCGAGGCTTGGCGGCTGCCTTAACTTAAAAGAACTATCCTCGCTTTGACAACCCTGTGAAACTTTTGATCGTTTAACGTGCAATTCTCTTTCGTAGTTTTGGCGCCCGATTCTCGCGCGAGTTTGAGGTGCCGCTTTTAAGGGAGGAACGAATTATTTCCCCACTTCCAGATTTCTTCGTGTCTCGAGGAAACTTTGAGGAAACTTTACGAATTCGGTCTCTTCGATCTTACAATTCTCTTTAATGCAAGAGGGGGCTTTTCGTGGTCCCTTTCTCCCCTTCTTCTTCCCTCTTCTTGTCTCCGGGGACATTCATAAATCATTTTCTTTCGTCGCGAAATCCATCTCCGCCCCGCGATTATCCTCCTAGCAACGAGAGCAAGATGGAACCAGCCAAGGAATTACTTTCTTTCGTGACCTTTGTCAGGTGGAATGCACCAAGCCACGTCAATGAATCGCACTTTACTAAGTCTTGAGACGAATGAGTATATCCGACATAAAATCAAATCGAGTCCGCTGAAGGAAGAGTACAAGGATGTTCGAGGATTATCAAACATTCTTTATATTCTATAAGGCGCAAATTCGAAAGAGAGATTTCACTTTATCTTTCTTCAATGCAAACTAACGGGGTAACCATTATATTCACTGTTTCGTTATTTCATCACTATATAAATACGTATATTTCAATATTAAATAAGTAAATAAAGCTTCACAGTGAGACTCGGTTTAATGGACATCTGCATGTATTTAGGTTAGGTAAGAGTGTCTTTCTTGAAATGTATCGGAGAGCGAATCAATACAAATGTGACATTCAAGTGGCGTCAGTTATTTTTGCATGAGATCGCAACGATGTATTTCAGAATACATGAGTATCCTACGTTGAAATCGGAAAAAGCCGATGCTTGCGGCACTGCTTAATTTTATATATACAAGGTGTCCCAAAATATTTCATGGGCTGGTAGAGCGGACTAAACCGAATCGAAAAGTCCTCTTCCATTTTGCAATTGTCGCAATAGTTAACAAGATATTAATTACTAAAAATTGCCAAATATTAATCTTGAATAATTTTTTACTCAAATACTATCGACTTTACAGAAAAACTGCAAAAGATCATTTATTTTCTTCTCGTAGAACTCTAAATTTTTTCATAATTTTTTAATATCGTATTTTCTCATGTTGGTAAAAATAAAAAAAATGCAATACTAAAAAAAAGTTGATAAAAAATTCCAAAAAAATTCTTAGAGTTCTATGAGAAGAAAATAAATGATCTTTTGCAGTTTTTCTGTAAAGTCGATAGTATTTGAGTTAAAAATTATTCAAGACTAATATTTGGCAATTTTTAATAATTAATATCTTGTTAACTATTGCGAAAATTGCAAAATGATAGAAGACTTTTTCGACTCAGTTTAGTCCGTTCTACCTGCCCATGATATATTTGGCGATTATTTTGAGATACCCTGTATATATACACATTTTCTATACAAATATGTGCGTTTTTATGTACACATATGTGCATTTTTATATACGTAATCTCCACGACAGTTAATAACGATTTCATGTCAACGTAGCACGCGGTTCCGCGTAGAATATGCAATTACGATCGCCGTTATTCTCGTCGCATCCCTGCCGTCGTACGTAGCAGAGGTAGCAGATCCAACCGTCGAGGCGATAAATCGCGAGATTTATGTCGACAAATTTGACAACAAACCGTGGAATAGCACTGATCCCGGAGAACAATGCCGAGAATCGGCGTCTGATTTGCATTTATGAAAAGGGCAAAATACCCGCTGTCCGTATTAATTAACTCTCTGTAGCGAGAGAGCTATTATTTATGGAGAATAATAAATCGCGGCGTCCGATATAGTACGCGAAATATCATCGGCGGAAGATTGCGGAAGACTAAAGCTGGTTAAAATTTCAGTCTACGAGAATAGAGATCCAAAAACAAATCTAATTTCATATTCGTAAATGTTCCGTGGCACACTGTCGCGACCTGATATTCTATCGCCGTCTAGTTCGACTATTGCCGTTATCTAGAATCCGGAGGCGCACGTCTACCCCCGAGACGAGAAATTCATGGTGTGAGCACGCAAGCACGACAACTATGCCCTCGATTGCCGTCTCGACGGAAAATCGTGCGAGGGGAGAAACAGAAGAGACAAAGGGAGAGAAGGGTAGGGGGAGGGAGAGAGAGAGAGAGAGAGAGAGAGAGAGAGAGAGAGACAGAAGAATAGAAAGGTGGGGCATTCGCGAACACGACGAACGGAAGTCGGCCGCTAAGGTAGCAACGGACTCTATTCCGGGCTTCCCGATTCCTGAAAGCCCGAGGGTGCTGCAAGCTCGACTCTATTGATTTCCCACGTTAAAGGGAAACACTCGGTACGCGTAGGCTTTGTACATTGAAAATCCAAACGCGAAACATGACAACAGTTTCCTCGATATTTCCTGTCGTATCCTTTTGACATATAATCGTCTACACAATCAATCTTTCTATACAAGCTAAAAAGAGAGATTATCTTATATATTGCTACTTGTTGTTTTAATATTAAAATTAATCAATTACTAATACGTAAAGTTAATTATTAATGTATGAAACTTGTTCTCTCTATAGATGTTTACCTTGAAAAAGATTCCCAAGGAGATAATATATTCTATTTATTATATTATAATATATAAAATCATGAAGTTTCGAGATGTGCTTTTCAAATATATTTTCGTGTAATAAACTTTTTATAAATAGCAATTCTTTTTAATGTGTTTTCAAACGCGTTTGATTTTCTTCCACGTTTATAAGCCAATTATACAGTCAATCGAATGTTCGAGACCGGGGAGAGAGAATTTTCAGTTTTATTTTTATAATAGAAGAGTATATATATCAGAGCGATTGTTACGACGTAATGAGACTGGATTTCGTTTAAGATATCTGCGCAATCGATAATCGATGTCCTATTTTCCGTACCGCCGCTTATCTATAAGCTCAAGTAACACAATAACCGCTGATAACGGTTTTCAAAACAACGATACGAATACTTTCGCGTGAGCATACAGCCCAAAGATACCAATAAATTATTGAACGTACAGAAATTTAATGAAAACGTCCGGTAAAATGTAATTGAAATCGCGACGTAAATCGGCAAATCTTCCATCCCACTACCCACCAATTGAATCTTCATGTATACAAATCTGAGCGAGAGTGAGCGATCAGTGCTTGTCTCGTGCATTCACACGCCGACAACGTGATCGTGAGTGTATACGATGAGGTACGCGTTGCGAAAGCATACCAAGACACGATTACCGGCGGCGGTTTCCTTTCGGAATGGCACATCGACTCGATTCCAATTACGGTTTACCACGTGACGGCCGCAAACGCTATCGTCACGCGCGAGGAAGATGTTTGCTTCCCCGCGACATTATCGCGCCTTAATTCGTGACTCTTGGTCGCGCGAATCATTTCGTCGATAAATGCCTCGCAAAACATCGTCTACTAGTTACTGCAGCGTTGCAGAAATTTAAATCAGCCAGCTCAGCGGCGTCGCCATAAATATTGGACGTCATAAAGTGCATGCGTTAGTGCAACCATCTCTCTCTACCTTTTTCTTTTTTCTTTTTTTTTTTTTTGCGTTTAGACCGAGGTACCAATTCAAGCTACGCGAAGAATACATTTTTTTTTCAAGACTGAAACTAGAACGGAAAATTTGAGAGGTTTGAAACTCGAAATAAATGTGGTCTTTTACTTATCGAAGTGAATTATCATATGTACACAAGCGAATATTGTAAATTTTAATGTGTATTTTTATAAAAAAAAAAGTTTTTAATTTTAAGATATTAAAATGTTTTGATTTTAAAACTTTTTCAATAAACAAAACACTATGTGTTTGAACTTAAAATACTAAAACGTTTAAAATTAAAATGTCTTTTATTATTAAAGGTTTATTTTGAGACGTTTTAAACGTAAACATTTTTTAAACACTGCACTTTTTACAGTACAATAAATAAATGCTCTTGTATACATGTATGATTTAATTTTCCGTGTAAAAATAACACTGCACTACACGTTTGAATAAATTGAAACAACACTTCACGTTTAAATGTGTAAATCCATTTTTGTGTACGCAGTACAGTGTGTTATTTTTACACAAAAAAATTAAATCATACACATATAAAGGCACTTATTGCATATTTGCAATATGACATTATTGTACACACAATCTTCTTCGTTTTTCTTTACCGTTACTGATATATAAAAAAAATATGCGAATAAATTGAGAATAAGATAAACTTTTTCTGAATGAAATTTGCGAAAATTTATAAAATATTAACGCATTTATTGAATGCACAAATGCGGTCGTAAAATAATTTTATACAGTATGAAAAGTAGGTTGCCCGGAAAACATGGGTTAAGTCAATTTCGTTATAACGACTTAAATACATTATATACATGAGATATTATATACGGAATATAAAAGCGCGTCAATACACACTTACTGTTTATGATACTTGCCGATCGTAAACTATGCAGAACGTTTAATAATAGAACGAAATTGGATTTCACTCACCACAACGAGCGCGTGCGTCAGAGCAGTCGATGACCTCGACCTCCTTGGTGTCATGCCGACGACCTCGCCCCTCATGATGCTCTCGACGACTGCGTAAGAGGGGAAAAAAAGCGAAAACACTTTCAGTACACTTCACAATTATTCCACTTATTCGACGATATTACTTATAAAATTTTAATTAAATATATACATAATTAAAACAATTCTTTTAAACTGTTAGTTTACATAGCAATAATTTCAAATTAAGCAACATTAAATAGCGCTTGAAAAAACGATATTGTAAATAATATAAAATAAATTATTTAATACATTTCAATTTTTTCAAATATTTAACAGCATTTATGAACAATAATTTTTTTTTAATATCAATGCTTTCACGCGAAAACTGAACTTTATTGGAAATTCTTTTATAATTCTTTTATATAAATTTAATCGCTATGGTATTAATTAAACGCATGTGTTTTATTTCGTGCTAATGTTTCTCACCTCCATCGCCAATCAGCCGCATTTGTACTAATGTGGGATCCTCGTTGTGATCTTCGAGGACCGTATCGTCGGTAACAGTCAGATCCTAAAAGAATAATCAATTTTAATCAGATAAATAAAAATTAGTATTAGTGAAACTTATAAATTATCCTGGACAGATTTATAAAGTGCTTTTAACATTAATTTTTCCATTAATAATATTCACATTCCTTGCTATTAATTCAACCGATAAATAATTTGTTAATAGCAGCGATATGGATCGAGACGTTCAATTATTTTCTAGGTTCATTGATCTTTCGTAAACGATTTCATTCGCAATTTCGAAAAATTCATTGCATAATGGGTGTTAATTGATTTCAATTCTTTCGAGAAATTTCGTGACTCGCCCGATTAGCCGCGGAATGTTTATCTATCAATTCGCGGGTCAGAGACCGGACGATGATGGTCTGGCTTCTCGTTAAGATTCGTCACGATCAACGCCTCTTCTTGTCAATACTTAACTGGTCAGCTTAACTGATCAGCAGGGAGACAGAGTCGCAAGGAACGAGATGATGTGCGATCGCGATGCAATATCTATATGTGTGGATTTCTCTGTCAATACGATTTCCGGCAAATTCTGTTTACATCTCACTCTTATTGACAGTATCGACACTTTAAAGATAGAAAGTTTTATAAATTCGTACAAAATTTAGATTTTTATCTTATAAAAGTTCTGATCGAGACCGCAGTTCAAAATGCACAACTGTTATATAATTGATAATAATTAAAAAGGATACGTCTGCAAATAAGTATCAGTTGGAAAATTCTCTCTCGCTCTCTCTTCTTATCTTCATTTATTTAAAATTAATACACAGAAGAATAGCGTAAAAAAATTATTTCTCTCTTTTTACCCCTCCGTTCCTTTAATTCTTTTTCTGTATTAAAGTCTGCTGCTTCTCGGCACTTGCGTGTAACGTTTAACTATTTTTATTCTCATGTTTATTGCTTACTGTTTTATTACTGTATGTATTAAACTTTACTCTCTCCTATAATAGCGCCATCGTTTTATATTATTCGGTACACTAAAAAAAAAAAGTAATTTTCAGATATTAAATGTTTATTCTTGTTTCAATTTTTTAAATATTTAAAGACGTTTTAGTTTTAAACTTTTTTAATAAACAAAACATATTGTTTTAAATCCAAACATAGTGCTTTGTTTGAAAAAGTTTAAAACTGAAACATCTTTAAAGCGGAGTTGTTCTACTTTTCGATAAACTTCAGCTTATATAATGTCTTACTCTCTTATTCTCTTATGTTCTTAATCTTTTACTGTTTTATTTATCCAATAGGTAAATTACCATATATAGGTTATCTAAAGATGGAACAATCGAAGTATTTAAAAAAATGGAGACAAGAATAAAACATTTTAATATTTTAAAATTAAATACTTCTTTTTTTTAGTGTACTCTGTAATTTTTAGTTTATTTCTTGTCTGCATTTCCCATAACTCATATTTTTTTAATTTTCGTTGTACTGCAATCTATTGCGTTTCCTAGTTTCTGTTCATCTAATGATAGTTCAGGTTTTAGATTTCTAGGCAACTATTACCTCACCTTCTAAATGTATTTCCTACCTATTGCGTTTTGTTTTACTATTGTTTTCTTTGTACAATAGACTACGTTATTATTATTATTCAATACATATATAAGAATCAAATAAGGCTCGCAATTTAACATTTATGTTAATTTGTTTTACAAAAAAAAAAATGAAAGACACACGTCTATTGTACAATACTTTTTGATGCATTTCGCCTCGCGATATTTCAATAAAGTCTTTAAGAGACAACGTTAGAACGAAGACTATTCGAATAAACC